TGCCTATAGAAGAGGTTGGCATGCTTGATTAACATATTTCAACGCTGGTAATGGTAAAATAATGCGTATTACTCAACAACCAGTTGATTTGTATCGTTTCTTGCTTTTGTACGTGTGTCGGTATTGAATACTTTGGGGATTGCTTTTAGATGGACAAAGGTTGGTTGATATGAGAGTCTTCAGAGGACCCATATTATTAGTCATCCTCTTGCTACTCATCTCGCACATTAAGATCACAAAGGAAAATATATGGAGGACATTCTTTTTTTAATTTTGTTTTCGTTATTTATCAACAGAAATGGTTAACTTTACCATAATGATTAGACCTGATCAAATCAAATCATCTAATAGGTGCCGATAATAACATGTGTTGACAGGTTTGCAAGGTTAGCTATGATTTACACGTACTTAGCGGAATCAGAAACGATAACTTTAGGGTCTTCAGCTTTCTCGATGCGCCATTTCGTTGGTCAGTAAGAATACTTTGCAATTTCTAGAAGCTCTAACAGTTACAGCATAACGTTTTTCTGTGTTATTTGACGAAACCACTTGGTTAGCTTTATTTTCAAACGTTAATACTGTATTTGGATCCTGATCAACAAATTCCCAAAATTCACTATTAACTTGATCCTTTTAATAGAAAACTCACCTATTTACTAAAAAGCCATAGTAAATTTAGATATTCTAAGAACTTACTCAGTGAAAATGAATTATTGTCGTAAATACCCTAATTTGTCGTGGCCTCTGTGGGTTGTTTAGGTTGAAATGAGAAAGACTGGACCAATCAATGCCTTCGTAAAATTTTCGATCCCACCGTGCATATTGAAAATTTCAGAAACGTTTTGCTGACCGAACTCGGCGATTATACAACTTCGTCCACGCGTTTCTGGCGTATGTCGTGGAGCAGGCGAAAAATCTCTATTCTTAGTACAGTGGAGATGCGGGAGCGTTTTTTCATTAGTGGTTAGTAAAAGATCAGAAATTGTGCGATCTTTACAACATCCAGTTACCCGTCTTGCTTCTCGATTCCTACTATTCGTTCAGGCTTGCGGCCTTATGGGGCCACTTGTATAGCCAAACGTGAACAGCGGCTTGAAATGTTCGCTATGAGCTGAAAGTATCAGATCGAACTTGGGCTCGACTTCAAGCTGTGATTGGAATATGAAAGTATTTGTGTTTCGCGCCGACTACTATTGGACGACTTCGTTTCGGATTTTAGATAAGACACTCAATGTCTCAATAAATAACGCCAACAAAAATATGTTTATTTAAACAGTTCTCGTATAGGTTGCAAGGATGCCCAAAGACTCGAATAACTGAAAAAATACAAAGCCATTTTGAATTATCTTTGGTCTGAGAATACTTTCGATATTTATCTGAAATGGAAAGCATTGCATTCTCACGACGTTTGCCGGTAAGGAAAGGTGCTCATACTGCTTAGTTGTTTGTTACGCAATATTCAACATATCTAATTTGAGTTGATATCTCAAAGTATTTCCCTAAAATTGGGCAACAAGAACTACGCAAGCTTCTATATATATATATATATATATATTGCCCTATATGTTAACACATATAATCACTGCTCCTCATGTTATGCAAAGCGACAGAAGGGACAAGTTATCTATTGACCTTACGACACTTACATTTTTAAATATGATCTATTTTATATAATATTACCTATAATATATTTTGTAAAAGATAGGTACCGTATATAATATTGCTAGTAACATATACAGAGTAGCAACTAAAACTCATTTAACAAAACTCATTTAAATCATCATGCCAGTTGGTAAATAAACCAAAAAAAAATTTATTGTCGGACTTCCATTTTCCTTCCACGAATATTTTTTTGTTAGAATTAAGTGCAGAAATTATCAACGATTAAACGTTTACTATATTTCTATCTGCATTATAATTTATCAATTTGATGTGAACTATTTCTTTATTGAAATGTCACAGCAGTTTACAGAGTAAATGGGTATGATTTACTGAGCACCAGAAGCACTGAATACTTAGCAGTATAGTTTTTTTACTGTGGAGCACATTTTGTACTGCAGTGTATCATAACAATAACGAATTATAACTGAAATAGCATTCAGTTGTACTTTGGTGCTACGTACATAAACGTAAATAAAAATCGTGCATATGAATGGTAACCGGTAAAACTGCCGTTAGCGGTGACTACTATTAAGTGTCAATAATTTCCACTAAACATGATTGAGGCTTTTTGAGTTATTCCCTATGCGACTACTATTAATCGCTGAAAAATCACGGATTAATACAAATTCACACTATTCATGCTACCGGTTCTCAATGGAAGCGTTTCGAGGTAACTTGAATTGGACAAGTCCACCCGAAAAACATCAAATAATCATATAAGTGGAATTAAAGTATCACTGGAGTTGAAAATCATCGTTGCATTTAATGATATGGAAACATTACCCTTATATAAAATTTAGCGAAGAGGTTACACCTGAAAGCTATGCGTAATTTATGCGTTTTACTATAATATCAACTGAATAGAAGTTTTTTTACATTATTTGTGACTTCGTTACCGATTCACAACGTCATCGATCTTTTTCTGTGTCCATAGTGCTATATCTTGTAAATTCTTATCCGCTGTACCACGCGCGATAAGTCTATAGCGGGAACTCGTAGCTAGAAACACTAAAAGTTTGTAAAGACGCGCCTGTTCGAACGCGGAGTTTAACTCGAAACAGCACGGATTTTTAAGTTAAGTGGTACTATTTTGAAACATTTAATTTACTGTATGCCGGGATTCATATGTGGTTTTCGTTTGTTTTATTGTGGGTTCAGAAATTTGCACTTTTGGATAACCCTACTTTTGCCCTTTGGAACTTTCTCTAATCGTTTCGAATTAAATGTGAAAGATTTGAATTCGTACCTTAAGGATTTAGATGGAATTCCAGGTAACAGTGATGGTGTTCGCGAGATGAAATCACGATTTCTGTCGTGCCTTGTATTAATTAGGGCTGGATCTATAAGGTTCACCTCATTCAAATGGCTTCTCACGCGTCGGCAGCGAACCGTTCCTTGGGCCGTTCCTTATACGAAACAGATTTCCTAGGAAGGTTGCGATGTCTACATGTGCAAGCTGAGCAGAGGGATTGCAAACACCTTCGAAAAATATGTGGTTATACCAAATGATCTTCTAATACCCACGGAAATGATTCCAATAACAAGAGCACTTTACAGTTTTGCTAGAAAAATAACAGTTACCGTCCGATATATCTTTCCTATAGATAGTGGTGCCTTATTAAACAGAGCCGGCATGCATCTTATATTGTCTTTCCTGCAACTCAAGCCTTAAAGAGCTCAGATCAGTTCAAAGGATGTGTAAAAATTGAATCGGCGCTTTTCTTAACATTTGACAGCAATTTGAATGTAATATGTATTTGTAGCGACCGTATATAAAGAAAATATACAAGTATATTTCAGTAACACGTACAACTAGCCCGGTTTTAGCCAAGAACGCAATTAGATCGTTTTTGAAATAGTGGATCCGTACTAACGAAGGTTTGGATAGACATCAGGTGGTTTAAAAATACTCCATAAACTTGAAGTAATGACAGAGTTCTAAAACTTCGTTGAAAAGAGGTTCAACAGATTAGCGACCTGATGATCGCAGATGACCTGGTCTAGGTCGCGCAAACCTTCGTCGAAGTCTTGTTGAACGTTACAAGACAACTGAAGTATAGATTTCAATTAACAATTAATCAGTTGAAAGAAACAAGTCCGCTACGGCGCTCGAATATCTACATGATCAAATGTTATGTGCAGGGAGCAGGTTCAGAGTATTTAGCGTCTACTGAAAGGCCATAGCAGTACCCAACCTGAAATACGGGCCATGACAACTCCAAGGGCTTGAATGGGGGCTTATGGACAGTCGAGGAAGTAAGTCGTTGTAATGGTAGAGAAGGACAGTAGCGAAGAAACTCTACAAAGTATGGATAAGAATTATCTTCAAACCAGTAATACAGCAACAGCAGAAGATACTAACAGCTGGCGCTGGCACGTTCACGTTTAGCACGTTAGACAATTTTATTGACACGTTAAACTCGGTATACAAGGATGCTGTATCAAGCGTAGGACATGCAGTACTAAAGTTCATTTGGAAATGTTGTTAGAATAAGCAATCCTACCTGCTTCTGCATAGACTGCACAGCAATAATCTAGGAGACCAAAAACATAATACGAACCTGCAAGCCTACTATGACATACATCTTTCAGCTATTCGCTCCTGTAACTCAATTGTGACCGTCGTACGGGAGAGCGCTGCCCTGACGGACTGTTGATACGTCAAATTAATTCAATTGCCATACTAAGAATTTGATCATTATCCCCACTTAAGAAATGCCCAACCTAAATTAGTTTTATAGAAAGGGAATACCGTCTAAATAGAACAAAAGAAAAACAACTACATTTCATGTTGAGCATGATAATTTATTTTATGGTAAGAGTGTTGGTTTTTTATTTGTTGACATTTATGTACATTATATATTTACAGTGTGGCGTACCGATGTTTGATCCAAACGCTTCCGCCAAATTAGCTTATTTTGCGTGTATGCAAAGATTGCCAAATACAATTCTATTATGATTTCATAGCATTCTCCTGTGACCGTCGATTCCAACACACATCGGTTAACTGATATTTCGTTTTACTCTGTCAGTTCATTTGCCCGTGACTTACCGACTATCAACGAGAGCAAATACTGTTGCGTTGCTGTCAGTGTTCACTAAATACCACAAATTATATATATATATATATATACCTACCTATTAATTGTTTGCTGTTTCGAAGTTTGACTAGTTTGTTGCTAAAAGAGATTTATTGCCCGGCTCGTTAGCGTTCCACTGATCGTCGTTCTCATCGGCAGCGCTTCCGCTTTCCCTATGCGTAATCACAGGCGTATTGAGTTCGGGCGCGAAGTCGCACCGCAACTGCCACTTCGTTTTTTTTTTTTTTTTTTTTTTTATCAACATGTCTCCAAAACGGAAAGCTACTCTGAGAATAAGATTCTTGCGAAACGCTTCAAAAACGCGAAACCGTCTCAAAATGTTTGGCGTGTGTCCGTGCTGTTATGTATCTATGAGCTTATAGTTCTTCGTTTTTTAGGGTAAGTGAACATATATACTTCTCCATATTTACTGCTAAAACGTTATCTGTCGATTTTCTGCTTTTTCTATAGAAACTTGTACGTATACAAAGCGTGGGTGCTACTCAAGCGTACAGCTGCAGGTGTACCAGCCACGTTTCTGTCGTTTGCTTTTACATAAAGATTCTCCAGTCACAAAATTTCTATTTGAAACGAAGTTTGTCGCAATACGGGTAGTAGAATTCAAGGTGTCAAGTCATCTAGAAATCTCCGTGAAGCCTTCTAGATTTCCTTGAATGGTCGAAAGAGTTTGGGTTGTGCCGATGGCGATGTAGTTGAAGGAGTGGCCATTGGTGCTGGGCTGGTGGGAGTTGTGGGTGACGAGGTTGGCGTGGGGCTCGTCAGAGGCACTGGCAGGGGTGAAGAACTCTTCTGGGGCTCTGAAACGATCAAGGCGACAGGCGATTTGGTGCGTTCCAGGTCACTAAGCGACACAGGGTAGCCGGAACCAGTCATTGGGCTCGGTGGTGGAACGGGCGCACATCCGCCAGCTGCATAGTAAGGAAATGGAAGGCCTCCCGGAAGCTGAGGATAGCCAGGAGGTATGCCGACTCCAGTGGCCATATTGCCAATGTAACCAGTTGCGGCAGCTGCAGCCGCTTGCATAAAGTACGCTGCTAATTGGGGGTCATACGACCAGTTGAATGTCATCCGTTGACGTTTGTCCTTCATGCGACGATTCTGGAACCAGACCTTGATCGTACATTCGGGAAGGCCTAAAGCTGCGGCCAATTCTCCCCGACGTGGTCTACTAACGTAGTTGTCGCGAGTGAACTCTTTCTCAAGACGGGCGAGCTGTTCCCGTGTAAATGCTGTACGATATCGTCGAATATTATCTTGTGTAGGAGGATCCACCCCTATAAAGCATAGACGACAAACAAACGACAAAACAGAACGATATTAGTATGTGTTGTAAACGTACGAACAAAGTCAGATACACAAATTAGAAAGGAAATCAATGAAATTAAAATACATAAGCACATGCAGTTAACAAACGAAGCGTCTACTAGCCTAGGCCAAACACCTCCTTCACAGAGATACGCATATGCAGGAAAATTCGCTCAAGGTTTCTTGGCCAGCTGAAGGCTCGGCACCCGTCTGAAGCAGGTGCCATAAACGCAAGCCTATAGTCACACCTATTCACGGTTAACATGATTAGGGCAACTAACGTAGCTGGAATTGGTATTGAAGTAGCGAATAAGTCCAACGTTAGAGGGCGATGGTGTCAGACAAGCGCTCCCCTTGCACTCGGCTGGACTGAGCGACGGGGCGTAGCTTCGTAATAGAATTATTTGGAACTGCGCCCGTGGGAGACATAAGAACGCGTAGCGACCATTCCCATTGATATTGGTCGATTCGGCTTCGGAATGGCTTTTTCGCAACAAATCGAATTGTTTTCAAATTGCTCTCTCATCTTGCCCCTGCTTCCCCAATAGCGTTCGCATTGCTACCTTTCTGTCAAGGCCCGCGTCCAATGCACTCGCGTGGGGCTTCTCAATGACCCAACATACAATTGGTCTGGGCAATTTTAAGTTTACATCGCCGCTGTTGCTCTTTTCATTGGCTATTCACTTTACGAGAGTCCAAAAGAAGTTTACAATTGCTATGAGATAGAAGACGCTTAAGAGATCGTTGAGACAACGGCGGATAAGGTGAACGAAGCTGGACTAATCGTGAAGTAATCAACAACAGGGCATTTTGCGAGTAACAATTAAAGGCTCTCATATGTAATCAACCAGTAACTTGCCGGCTGGCACTCGTCTATCGGTAGGTCCTTATGTACCTGCGTTCGCTTGACCCCATTTTATCGTGTCGCCGTGGCCTTCACGGCAGTCCCACAGCAACAGCAAGTCCGCCACAAACACACCACGACTGACGAAAAGCCAAACAAGACCCCAACCTTTTTTCTTCTTTTTTTCATCGAGTAGTCTTGAAGAGAATTTGAGGCACAATCTATTCGAACTTCGAAAATAATTCGAAAGGACCACAAGACGCTGCAGGTGCGCGTGGATCCGCTGCCGTGACCAACATCGCCGCTTGCCCACACAGCCTATTGTTCAAGCAGGTCTCATTTCGCTTTCTGTATTGATTACAAGAAAAAGGAGCCGTTTTGCTACAAAAACTTACGACTACCACGGGAGCGTGTGACGTGGCTGCGTCAGGTGCTAGCCAACAGCCATTTCAATAGTCTGACTAGCTAGACAGAAGGCCTAGTGGAAGCTGGCGGCAGGAGAGAGTAGTCTCACCAACAACACCAGTAGCGCATTGGGACCGACTTGAGGAAGTGTAGGAGTCCTGCTCGAAGTCGCTACTGTGGCACCAGCTATCCATCAGGATCAGCGAGACGAGCGCCCAAGTCGTGGAGGCGCATGGCCTGCGGAGGGCCGTTGAAGAAGAAAAGGCGGGAAAGAGCTGTGAAAGGCGAGATTTTCAGTGTCTGAGCTTGCAAATTCGACGACTACCAGCGTCAAGGGCGGCGGGGGCGTCGACGATGGAAGCACTGGCTCTGGGAGCTACAACAGTAGTGCGAGTAGAACCACTAGGGGGTGCGGATCGTAGCGGCAACAGTGCTAATAGCAGCAGGTGCTTAGTCAAATCGCTATAGAGGCAGCGCAGACAGATCACGAAGAACTTTACTTGCTTTGCAGGGGCTGCTGTCACCTCCATGGCAATCCTTCATAGGCAATTGCTTTCTAATAGCTATTCACTCCTCTGCTCCGTAAGGAGCCGCTGCAGCGGGCTACAGAACCCTATGTAGCTCTAAAAACTACCCAGGTTGTAGTAAGCAAAGGCCAGTCGATGCGTATATATATATATGGAGGCGCACGCCGTTGTGCTTAAGAACAATGACACAACAGGAGGAGCCTACCCTTGCTAGTTGAATTGACACATTGGCGGCTGGGAGGAAGCCTGACGATGGGAGTGTCAAGATCGGGGGAATGAACACAATTCTGCTGGGTAGCGTGGATTCCCGCCGCAGCTTCCGCTGGTGGGGCTTGGGCTATGAGCTTTATGATTTAACACAGGTAAATCTACCTCAGGACTTCTTCCTGGCTGTTATTGCCACTCCTCGTTGAGTATAGGAAAATAGGTGAGGAAGTGAAAGAAAAGCTATGAGCTAAACAGCTGAATAGAGTTACTGAATTGCCACGACACCGACGATAAGGAAGGGAACATAGACTGGCAGGCGGTGAGACTTGTTAACAGATGAAATGCAATACGTTGTTGATCAGAGAGTGAGAACCAACTAAAGGAGCAGGCGATAGCATAATCAAATCAGGGATTGTGTATCGGCTCTGAACTTCACAAAAGCTCAGATACCGAAATGGCGAACGACTAAGAATTAAGCTAGCAGCAATTGGGAGTTAGTAGAGTCAGAAGGGGCGATAGGAATGATATTAGTGGGGTGAAGCCGGTGAAAAATTTAGTGGAACGCGTTGAAGATCACAGTAGGGAGTTTTAGTGACGATGAGCTGGTGACAGTCAACGACCTGACGGGGTAGTGCCACATAAAGGACTACAGCTCAGGTGCGCACAGGATTACATGGATTAACATAGAAGATTTGCTACGTTAGTTGGGAACAGCGGCGGTAACGAGACAAACTGACCTGCCGAAGGCCAGCCAATTGGTGGTCTTTTGCAAACTCAATAAATAATACTGAGATACTATTTGTTGTCATTGAGTACAAAATGGGACAAGGTAGCCTAGAAGCAGGACCAACGTTTCAACTTCTCATTAACTGAGAGAAGCCAGTAGGGATGGAATAAAGAGGGCGGGATTCAGAAATCGAGCAGCTTTACAAGCATTTGCTTCATGCATGCTGGTAACTGAAACAGATAGCTTCCTTTTTAAGTGCTAGATTTACGAAGCGTTCAAGTCCGTTATCGATAGGCCTGCAGCTGCAGTTAGCGCTCTGCCCGCAGCCAATTCAGACATCATGCAAGATGGCTGAATCATGGAACACACGGTTAGATGCATGGACGCGTTTCAAGACACCACCAAATCGTATCGTATGGCAGAACAAACGTCGTGATGCTAAGATATTAACGAACTTGCACATCTATGATGGTAACTTGTCTATCAAGCTGCACAGATCGCAGCCGAGAACACCCTGAGAAAACACGGGCTAAAAACCTTTTAACCGACGAAAATCTACAGCCCGAAAAGTAATCGCCGCAAATTTGATGTTGTCTGTTGTTGCTGCCATATCAGAGCTCAAGCGTTACAAACCGTCATACTAGCATGCCTATAATATCAATACAGGAACTACAGGGTGACATAAACGGAGCACAAGTCTAAGTCTCGTCTTGACGAGACCCATATAATAGCTCCATTTAGATACACATCTATGGATCGACGTAAGTTTATATCAGCTGACTGAATGCACGCTTGTCTACAACGAGAGCGCAGAAGACAATTTGCTTTGCGAATCCGCGCAAAGTTTATAGCGTTAGGTCCTATTCGCCTCGGGGTCGTACTGTGTCGTCATCGCGAAGTCAACCTCAGGCTATATAAGGCCAGCCTGCCCACCCTCCCGCTGGCCTATTCGTGCCCGTGAGAAAAACAAGATCAGCCTATAGGGGAATATGCGCGTCCAATTCTCATCGAGCTCATTTAGCAATCCGTTCCGGCAGGACGCTATGATTCAACAGGGGGAACGCCTTAATGCCTTTATTTGTGCGTGTCAACAATGTGATCTCTTCCAGCGTCATCCATTCACGATAGGCATTCCATTCAGTTTGGCAACTAGGTGCAATTGAGTATGTCTGTCGGACGTGTACCGTTCGCCGCGAGACGATGGCTCAGACAGATCGGAGTTCTGATTCGTTAACGAAGAAGACGAGCACGAAAAAGAAACATCTGTAGGCAGACAACGAACATTGATGATGCAGCACCGACGATCGGATTAGCCGTTATTCCACTATCTTTCTAACCTTTTCCATGGAAACGTTGACGATTAGTCAAGCTCGTGCAGATTCACTCGGCGGCGGCAGCGACTACTTCTATAACAGGTCTCACAGTAAGACCATTTGCAGTGAACTGAAGCGAGACACGATAACGTTTCGAAAAATTACCGCGCTATTATACTTTTGCTCAACCTCAGCGTTTCGATCTTTACTTTTAAGGGTCCACTCTTAGTGTGATACTCGCACAGATTCGCCTGACGGTTGTTCCTGTCGCACAATCGGCGGACTCTTCTGTCAATGTGCAGCGCGTTCTCCTATCAACTTCACTGGCACTTAAAAGATGCTAAACATCGCCTTGGTGCTTCTAGGTCGAGTTTGATGTTGAGTTTCGTAAGAGCCTTAGTATACGAGCCAGCGTGTGACTACAACTACAACAACAACGACGCTCAGATCCGGCAGGAGAACGGCCACTGTCGTTGTCGCAGGCGTCGGAGTCATCGTGGGAGCTCCGACCCGAACACGTCAATAAAACCGGCCGAAGAGATAGCATCTCGAACGGCGCCGCGCGTTGCTTAGCGACTGATGCAGATGAAAACGACTTCCGAGGACCTACTAGCCGGACCTCCATTCACCAGCGCCGCGAATGATTCTACCGCCACGGCGTGTTCCACTGCCACCAAGACGAACTGCGCGAGTCAGCCTCCCTAGAGAAGGAAAATAGCTTTCTTTTGAAGGAAAACAGGTCGAAAGAATCCTAACGACTCAAGAAAAGCAGGCGATAAGGGTGAATTTATTCCCCACCACAGCGTGCTACTGCTCTCTTTCTCAATAGAGACCGTCACTATTCCAGGCGCTAATACTTTGATTATTGCTGCCGCCTGGTTTCCACAACTCCTTAACCTAGCATGACTACGTCTAGAAGATAGTGGAAGTTAGTTAGAACGAACAA